ACTGGCCGCTTGGTCATTACTTTAAAAAAAAAAAAAAAAAAAAAAACTTACATTTAAACTTAAAATTTAACAAATAAAATTTTGTTTAACATTTTCCAAACATGTCTAAATTAACGTAATAAAGAAACGAAATTATATAATATAAAAATAACTATTTTAATGGCTACAACAGCAGCTGTGTAATTGGGGAAGAGAGAAAGAGAAAAAAGACACGGGCTCCAGTCGGACTCGGCCAGTAATTCTGATAATCTGTCGGATAAGGGCCGGACTAGGGCATATGTTTGAGGCCCGTGTAGGGTTCTGCTGAGCTTATTTGGTAGCAAACTCAATACTCATATACGCACGAGCGCAGACGTGCAAATAAATAATACAATTTTCTGACGATGCAACAATTACCCGATTAGGCAAGTGACTATTCTGTCAACTGTCCCGAAATGCGAGTGAAAGTCTTGTATCGCAGCGTGCAGCGGCTCTTGTAGCGCAGACGAGATGCGCCGATGTGAAGCCGTTTGAAGAAAAAAGTCAAAGAGAGAAGACGCGTACAGCTGAATCACTCACGCTGTTTTCAAATGACTGATTTGATCAGTCTGTGTGGACTGGACTCAGTCTGTAGGTTTGATTATTTACTCATCAAACCTACATGCTATAGGCTATTGAATAAATGTGTGAATATCCATAATTTTAAAGTCAAAAGCTGCGGGAATGAGTAAAACTATGTGATATAGCCTATGCGCAATCCCGCACCGAAATTCAGGACCTGATTAAACACAATTCTATTATACAGAGTTTTCTGAAATAGATTTCAATGACTTTTCCAAAACTTTGTGGGTTTATTTATTTTTCCAAAACTTTTCCAGGCCTGGAAATTGGTGTTTTAAAATTCCATGACTTTTCCAGGTTTTTCATGACCGTACGAACCCTGTATATAAAAAAAGCAATCAAAATCAAACAAACAAATGCAGTGCCATGCAGCGTACAACCTGGTTCTGTAGGTAACAGGCCACTTGAAAAGTATAAAATATATTACATTAAAACTGAAGAACAGTAAGGCATGCAGATTCTGTTTGCAGTGGCCTTACCCAATTTTTCTGTGTCAAGCACAGCATGAAAAAGAGAATAAGACAACATACAAGCACAGGTTACTTTATAATTAAAACAACATTTAAATTTGAATCTTAATTTAGCTATTTTATTTTACTTTACATTTTATATTGTAGGTTATAAAATGTAGTTTCTTAATATCAGGTCTACGGATGAATGGCATTTTATGAATCAGTCACTGAAACCCATAACGAACAACCACTTAACTTTCCTACGGCCCTGTACCACATTATAATATATAAAGTATTATTGAAATAATACATATTAGAAGGCCGAGTTTCATTTCATCTCATCTCAACACCATCTCACCTCTTCTGAGCTTGACCATTGGAGTGCTGATCGGCGGGAAGCTCAATAATCAGCACACAGGACTGAGCGTGCTCAAAACCTTCCTTGTTGCTCGGAGTTTTAGGGGAGCACTGTGTATCTAGCATGAAGACCTGGAAGAAGGAAAAAAAGTACATTCTATCATTATATTCAATGAATTATACATGCAAAAATCCAAGCAGACGTTTAGTAAAGCAATACACCACACCACATGAGGCTGTGCATTACAGTGTTTTTACCACGAGCTATAACCAACATACGCTTCCTCTCAATAGTTCAGTCTAATGGTCAACCACTACATTTTTCCAATGGCAGATTATTACATTTTAATCTTTGGTCTCATCACAACCCTGAAAATATGATGATATTTTTGGGATTGTAGTTCCTGAAATTCCCTTAGCACACGGTCTACAGTGAATAATTAATTGCTTTAATTATAAAACACCAGCTACTCCAGTACTCAATTAATAATTTAACATTTGGCTTTTTTCTTTTATCAGGAACATTTTTTTTGCGCTGTCATTGTGGTGACTATTTTTAGCACTGTTTATTACTATATTAATAATTCCCAATATTCTCAGTTGCAGTAGTGGGTCTAATTTTCATTTTTTAGTGCCAAAGCACTGAATGTAGGCCCTGGCAAAAGATAACACATGAATTTTGATGAAAATCCATGATTTTGTGAAAAGTACAGACATTGAAATTTTAAATACTCCCAGGAATCCATGCAGTAGTCACCAAACCTAGTCAAATTTATGTCAAGAAATTAAAGATGCTAAATTGAGAACAGATTATTCATATCTTGAACTTGCCATGGCAATTTATGGCAAAAAAAGGGAAACAGGAAGCCTCTCATCTCTTCACATTGTCTGATTTAGATCAAATTGGAGTTTTATGTTTGGTAATGGGGTCTGATCACATTAGGGTGACCTCTTTTTCCCGGACATGTCCTAGCCAGGACTCTAGCTGCAGGATTTTGGCTTTGTTATGCTATTGTTTTCATAGCTGCCGAAGGTAATGCCTGAAAAAGAGGTTTGACCAATAAAGTGCAGGCACTGTACATAATCAACCAATGGTTTCGGTCAAAGCAATGCAAATACGAAAATCCATGATTTTGTGAAAAGTACAGACATTGAAATTTTAAATACTCCCAGGAATCCATGCAGTAGTCACCAAACCTAGTCAAATTTATGTCAAGAAATTAAAGATGCTAAATTGAGAACAGATTATTCATATCTTGAACTTGCCATGGCAATTTATGGCAAAAAAAGGGAAACAGGAAGCCTCTCATCTCTTCACATTGTCTGTATATATATACATACAAGTTGTACTTATAAATGAAATGATTGATCGCTGACTGAAGAACCTTGGGACACTGATGCTGTTTTTCTGTCTACTACTATAAAGCTGCTTTGAAGCTATTTTTAATGTATAAAGCGCTTGTCTTGAGATTTCAAAGCCCGATAACTATCCATTTGACACCTATTGCTCTATTTTCTCACAGTACCAACATGTTCTAGCAGCATAAGTTGGAATAAGATGTCTGGGTCAGTCTACAGTTGTAAATGACGTGAGGAGTACCTGTTGAGCCATGGCCCGGATCCTCATGTTCTCAGCCTCGGCTGAAGGGGAGTGTGAGGGGGCCGCAACTTTCACTTCACATGCATCTCCAGTGAAACTGTCTGAACCACTCCGGAAACAAGCTAGCAGATTCTACCAGAGGACAGAGAAGGTATGTAGAAAACAATAACACGGTTTAATTTTAAAAGTGTGAAAAGCTTGCACTGGTTTACATTTATTCTCTATCTATTAAAAACACATCTCATGTTGTACAGAACAGAACATACTTTTTGCTATAAGTACTAGCATGAATAAAGCGGTTGCATCTGTCAGTACTCTGTGCTTGACCTACATCAAAATTTCTTATAGCAGCAGTTACACAACAGAAAAAGATCATCAGCAAGTTAGCAGAATTTATGCGTAAGTGAAAGTAAAAAGATTCTATAAAAATTATATAAAAAGAATTTCAGAAAAATCAAATAAATGCAGCCTCAGTTTCATTCTGTACACCAGATACTCGACAGTATATGGCACTCTCTTGTCTCTCCATTAGCGGAATCATCATTTCAACCACAAAGATATTGCAGCCAAGCACTTTAACAGTGTTTACAACTTGAATGAACTGATTTCTAGAAATGAATCAACCCCCTCTCTTTAGGAGCACTTTCACTGCTTAGAAGCCTATAATTTTTGTACCATCTGCAGCACTGAACAAAATACAAAACACTCTCTCCATCTGCCATTGGTCAGGCAGGCAGACAGATCCAGTCGAGGGGCCAATTCTATTGATTGAAGCAATGTTGTTTTAGAAGCAAACAACAAATTACTGACACAGTCTTTAGGAAACTTAATTGCCAAATAGAAATTACATTAAATTCACTGCAATCTTCATGACTGCTCAGTTTTGTATCGAAAGTATAAGTATATACATTCACTCTAGCCTACTAAATTGTCAATGAAAAAGTCTTTGGTCATAATCACAAAGCATCAAGTTTACAAGTCATCTTTACACATGTTTAGCACCATAATGGCTGTCCACCAACGTTTACTATCCAACCTGACAGAACTGGAGAGGCTCTGCAAGGAGGAATGGCAGAGGATTCCCAAATCCAGGTGTGAAAAACTTGTTGCCTCTTTCCCAAAAAGACTCATGGCTGTATTCGATCAAAAGGGTGCTTCTACTAAATACTGAGCAAAGGGTCTGAATACTTAGGACCATGTGATATTTCAGTTTTTCTTTTTTAATAAATCTGCAAAAATGTCAACAATTCTGTTTTTCTGTCAATATGGGGTGCTGTGTGTACATTAATGAGGAAAAAAAAATAACTTAAATGATTTTAGCAAATGGCTGCAATATAACAAAGAGTGAAAAATTTAAGGGGGTCTGAATACTTTCCGTACCCACTGTACGTCTGAAGTAATGCATTTAGATAAAGGGGTGCAGAGTCAGTGGTGGTTTTTTAGGCAAACATTAATGCAACCAGCTATTGGTAGCCAGTGCAAATTTATAAACAGAGGTGTGATGTGCATTCTTTTCGGCTCATTAAAAATTTAACTTGCAGCCACATTCTGGATTAATTGTAAAGGTTTGATAGAACTGGCTGGAAGACCTGCCAAGAGAGCATTGCAATAGTCCAGCCTGGACAGAACAAGAGCTTGAACAAGAAGTTGTGAAGCATGTTCCGAAAGAAAGGGCCTGATCTTCCTAATGTTGAATAAAGCAAATCTGCAGGACCGGGCAGTTTTAGCAATGTGGTCTGAGAAAGTAAGCTGATCATCAATCACAACTCCAAGGTTTCTGGTTGTTTTTGAAGGAGTCATGGTTGATGTGCCTAACTGGGTGGTGAAATTGTGATGAAATGATGGGTTTGATGGAACCACAAGCAGTTCTAACTTGGCAAGGTTGAGTTGAAGGTCATGGTCCTTCATCCAGCAAGAAATGTCAGTTAGACGAGCTGAGATGCGAGCAGCTATTATCGGATCACCAGGATGGAATGAGAGGTAGAGTTGAGTGTCATCAGCATAGCAGTGATATGAAAAACCACCTGACAGAACCTAGTGATGCCATATAGACAGAGAAGAGAAGTGGTCCAAGAACTGAGCGCTGAGGCACCCCAGTAGTTAGATGCTGTGACTTGGACACCTCACCTCTCCAAGATACCTTGAAGGACCTATCTGAGAGGTAAGACTCAAACCACTGGAGTGCGGTTCCTGAGATGCCCTTTACCAATAGGGTTGGGTTGACAGGAGGATCTGGTGGTTAACCGTGTCAAATTAAAAACATTTAATATTATAAAAACTAGTAAATATTATTATAATTTTAAACAACTGTACTCTAGTCTTCAGAGTAATTTGATCCTTCAGAAATCATTCTAAAATGCTGATTTGCTGCTTAAGAAACATTCCTTATTATTAATGTTGAAAACAGTTGTGCTGCTTCATATTTTTGTGGAAGCCCAACAGCACAACTGTTTAATAATAGAAGGTTTTCTTAAGCAGCAAATCAGTATACATATGGGGGGCTTTTAATTATAAACAAGCCCAAATTACACCTGGACTCCTTTTTTTTGCACTCTAACAACCATCTACATTTTACAATATAATCACTGTAAAGTAAACATTGTTATTACTCATCAACAGTAGACCATAAGTAATCTAATGGAATAATTGAATTGTATTCATTAATTGCAACAGCGCTGAATCTTGAATTTGAACATGCAGCACTCACATTTAATGAAATCCAAACCAAACCATTCACACTTGGCATGCACAATTTTGGCTACATGCCTAAACTTAGCACCCACTTGTGCGAAAATGACTCTGCGCTGACCCTGGTTACAAAGAACAAAGCTTTTTGTCAAGGCTCATGCAAGATTTTTGGACAGTGGAGACACAACTTCAATAAATGTTCTGATAATCACCTTCACAGGCTCAAGGGTAGCCGAGAAAGCGTCCTGCAGTGCACAGCATGCTAATCGCCACATCTCCTCAGTGAAAACAGGCCCTGCTGTTACCAGAACATACCTGGATATCAAAAATAACAAATCAGAACTTAATATACCTACTGCTACTATACTGGAGACATAAAAAAAGTAATCTAATCATATATTGCAGCATAACTTCAAGCCTTTTTCAATGAATTATTATCTTGAAAATAACTTGGTAATCACCTGAGATACATAATGATATTCACTACTCAATATTTATTTTTATTTAACTAAACCTCACACTGTCTACTGTCTACACATCTGAATCTAACATCATAAATGATGGATCTGGAACACTCTGCATCACGCAGACTGCACTCCTCACAAATAAAGGGGACGGTTTAGTGGATCATTTAATCATTTGACAAAGTACAAAAAAAAAGTCATTTTATAATTGAGAAGGGTTGATTTTGGCATTAAATGATATACAGAGACAATTACCATAAAACATAACATTTACTTACTACAGCAAATCAGCTATTCTCTGATAGTAGACGCTGACAGTACAACTTCACAAAGTAGCAGTTAAAGTCACACATGTGCAATAGAATGCCAGAATGCCATTGCTGTGAAGGGTTGATTTTGGCATTAAATGATATACAGAGACAATTACCATAAAACATAACATTTACTTACTACAGCAAATCAGCTATTCTCTGATAGAAGACGCTGACAGTACAACTTCACAAAGTAGCAGTTAAAGTCACACATGTGCAATAGAATGCCAGAATGCCATTGCTGTTCCATAGCAGCTGTTGCTTAAACTCCCTAATATGCTGTCTATGTAGGCAGTTCAGTAAGTTTTAGAACACACACACGCACACACACACCTAATACAGGAGCAGCCCACTCTGGAGATGGTCTCGGCTGGTTCTGCCACACAGGACACCAGCAGTTTGAATAGATCTTTCAGCATCAGGTTAATCAGATTCTCATAGCCAATATCTGCAAAATAAAAACAGTCATACAATTTATATTTCATATATATATATATATATACATACACACATACAGTCTAGCTGAAATAAAACGTTTTTATAAAATAAAATACACATATACGTTTTTATATATTTTAATTTAAATTATATATTTTTTTATTAGTAACCAAATGGTTACTATGGTTTTAGTTTTTTTTTTAGTTAAATGACGACAACCCTGGTTTTTAATAAAGATTCTATTTGTACATAGTAGTGTTAGTTGCAGTGTCTTTAATGCTGTTAAAAAAGTCACAATGCAGTAAATATTCAATGGTCTTAAAAAACAAGCAAAATTTTGATATGCAAATAATCATTTCTTGTTTTTGTTTTTTCTTTAAATTTTGGAGTGATGATCCAGATCCAGATCCATTCTGTTTGTAAGATTCACACATGTTGCGACTGGCTGCTTAGATCAGTAGTCAATGTCCACTACAATAAACAAGATGCGATATTACGAACTGTTATTACTAATTTGTTAGTTTGACCTGAATGGATGAAGCTGTGAATATGTTCCACCACCAGTTCACAGGACAGTCCAATAGCATGCTTGAAGTTTGCCGCAGCAATGTCCCAGTATGAGTGGTCACCATGGCTTCGTTGTAGCCATAGTGACATGACAGGAAGAAGAAGCTGGATGACAGAGAAAATGGCAAAGCCAGGCCCTAAGGAAGAGGAAGAGACAAGCCAGAGCTTTGCGGGTTTGCTTTCGTATCCACAGCAGTATGATTGTGAGTAGTGTTAATCACAGGCTTCTGACCTGGTATCTTGGTGACTTCACGCAGAAGTTCAAACAGCAGCTCAAGTGTAGGTGGCTGATGCTGGCGAGGACAGTTTGACACGGCTGCTGTCAGCTGCTCCAACAGAAGAATCCACACCTGTATCAGACCTGCACACACGCAAAACTGATCACCCCTGTGCACCAGTAATAGTTGTTTTTTCATCTCTAAACTTATTCTCCACCATGTACTTTAACAAATAAATCAATAAATCACCTGTGTCATCGTCAAACTCTGCTAAAACGCAGTCCATGCCATCCTCAGTGCTCACAGACCTCTCCTGAGCTCTCATCGGGAGGCTGGCCAGCCGCGCACCCATGAACACGGGCTTGGACGGCATCTTATAGATTTTGGCAAGCAGCTGCAAATGCAAAATAATACATCATAAACTCCAAACTTAATGTTACTCCTTTCATTTGGAAAATTAGTTTTTTGACCCAAACTCACATTACGAAAACGTCTGAAAGTGTGTAAATCATTTATGGACAGAAATGCGTTGATCTTGCCCACCTGTGAACATTTCCTCAAATAGTCCAGGGCAGGCAGGCACAGATCTGTTGAGCTGTATCCACTGACATGAACACAGTCTCCAATCTCCTTATAGTCCACTTCTCCTACAAACAATCACACAGCAATTATAATTTGTTATTTAGATATAATTATTAATTCTGTGGACCCTTTTCACATTTCTAGGGTTCTCAGAAGCAGAAGTCACTATAGTTGTGTAAACATCTGTTTTGATGAATGAAGGCAACAATAAATATATTTTATATTGTTTAGCTCACCTAAACCTTTCACAAACTTCATTAGGCACATGATGTAGTCAGTGGCCGCGTTGGCAAACACCTGAATGTTGTCTGTATTAATGAAGGCATCAAAGACATCAAACACAGGTGCTTGTGACTTCCCTGCATATGTGAAGAAGAGTGAAAAAAATTAAACGGAAATGCATTTCAGAGTGATATATGGTTGATTTTCCTCATTTGTTATGACAACAAACTTTCAACCCCACACCATACACTTACATTAATTAACACACCTTTAATTAATAACATTTATCCAAAAGAAGTTACATAGCGTAGCGTTTAAGGTCAAATGTGCATTGTGTCATTTATTAAAAAATTAAAATGATTCAATTTTTTCAAAGATTTTCTCAAAAAAGCTTCAAACACTTTACATATCTTCCATTGGTTTGCCACTGGAAACCCTTATTGGCTAAGCTGTGTTTGAAGCTGGTGCAAAACACACACCCATAACCGTCCATTCTATATTATTAAGTTGCTTGAAAATTGTACACCTACAATTACGGCTAATGAACTCTATTACATAGTGGAAGAATTATCTATTCAATTAATATCATAAAAAAAGTAACCATGTATTTGTCAAAGATTTATGTCTTTTTAAATAAATTATCTGTTGTTTTAGTTTAAATATGCTATAGAACTGTTAAATATTTTATATTAAAGAAATATTTTATCAGAATGCTGTTATTGATGCTTATTGCCATGAAAGCAGTAAAATCCCTATATTGCAAGTTTTCATTAATACGTGAGCCATAAACATAATCAGAGAGAGAGAATAAAAAAAATCTTTGCACAAATAACTAACAATACAGTAAATTTCACATACCCATAGAATATTCTCCTATCAGGTAATCCTTCATATCTGTTTTGTTTCCATGTACAGTTCGGAGAGCACTGAACAGCGGCCTCCAGCCAGACTGGATCTGAGCTGAGCACATCTCCACCAGCTCTCCAATGGATGTTATCACCTGTACCACAATGGATAGATACACAAGACACTGCAATTAACTCACTCTAAAGTAAAAATATGTGGCACTGAGACAGGTTTGTTTGAACAAGGCTCTGTTTAAACCATCTTTCAGCTTGGCCGCATGATAAGTGAGGACCTGATCTTGGACGTCTTCGTCACAGAGCTCCAGCTGCATGATGTGCTCAAAAGGCCTGAAGAGAGCTTCATTAAAATGAAAGTGTGGCAGCTCAGCCCAGCTGCTCAAAACCTCCATCAGAACATCATTGATGAAGGACACAGCCTTCTGGGATACATGTCGCTCCTTATGACATGCTGCCTGTGGGAACAAGAAAAACAAATCTGTTACAGTATCGCTATTTTGGTTTCATCGCCTTTAAGGATGTGTTAGCCACATGAGGGGTTTGTCTTATTATACCTCCACCAGGTGGGGTGCCACCACACTCCAGGCTCTCATCATGTGCAGCAGTGCTCTGCTCTTGTTCTTCACAATGCGAAGCATGGCCTCTCCCAGCCTGAAGAGGTGGAGTGCACTACGCTTGTCCTGGGTTGACTTTGCCTCCCCTTTAATGAAAACCAAAAAAAGGGCTGTAAAACTCCTAAAAAAAAGTGCATTACCTTTAGAAAATATTGTTCATTGATTTCAGGAGGTCCAACTAAATATTATGTGAATACTCTGTGAGCTGAATAGTACTAAAACAATTTTATTTTAGTTTCCATATGAGACTAGCACTTTGTTCAACCCTAATACAAAATGTGGGATTTGCCTGAATTTGGTTCTTTAAAACCCTAATTTCTCTGACCTGAAATAAGTAACATTTATAAAATAAGTTAGCCTAAATTAAGCTGTCACTTACAAGGGAAAAAAGCTATTCTGTGTCAATAATCTTTGGGTACCTGGCATGGCTAAGGAGTAGTCTCCAGTTTCTGTGACTGAATCAAAGAGTTGAGACTGTGACGCTTTTCTGAGCTGATGCAGGGAACCCACTAGGGCCACTAGGTTGAGTTTACTCACTGCATCCTCGAACAGCCTGCAGGACATACACATCAACTGCATGTTAAAACATAAACAGACATGTGAGAACAATAGTGATGGACAAATGGGTACACATACACAATGTGGCATATACACCAATGCACAATGAATAGTTCTAGTGCTGAATACTGATTGGTCAAAACCGTGTCACAGCCATGTTAAAATTCACTATAAATACAAGCTGCATAGATCACATTAGAACAACTAATTGAGGGACTTGTTTTTCACATCTGTGTCACACTATGAATTTGAATATTAATTTAATGAGAAAGTAAAACTTGCTTGGTGTAAAACCATAGATGCTGATTTATGTTTTTGCCGGCTGGTGCTCACCCTTCATAACATGTCATTTTAATTAGTTTTTTTTAGTAAACTTGCCAGTGCAAATACATTATCAACCAAATTTGGTTGAGCAAATGATAACTGGTATACTTAATTATACTTGGTGTTAGTTTTTCCAAGAGTACAGTCTTTTTCTCCATGGTGCGCTTGATGAAGAATTCAAGTTATTTGTGTCTCGCAAAGAGAAACACACTGACTGCAAATACATTACCAAGTGTCAAGTTCCCTTTCGAAGGAACTTCGAACAGCATCCTCTAGGGGGTCACTATGGGGGAAAGCCTTCAGTGTGACCGGTGACTGAAGCATACATCTAAAAACGACAACAACACTGGTCGGCGACAGCCTATGACGTCATTACCCTGTGTGATCACAGTATAAAAGGGCGCCGGGATAACACGTCATCCTCTTCTTCGTCTTCACTGACCGTTTGTTTATGTTAGTGTTAAGCGGGGGGGTGCGAAGATGGTGGGTTGAGCGGTTGTGTTTTTCGAAGCTCGTGATAGTGGTCCCCAAAGTTTGCTTGAAGTAATTCCGACTGTTTAATGTTAAGATGTCTCCACAAAAATTGATTAAACCTGCCAAGCTAAAAGTAGACCCCAAAGGGATAGATCTGTCGCCTAATATCGAAAAGAACGATGAGGCTAAAGTAATGATGCACGACTATGCAATGGAGGTTACTGTGCAAAGTAAAAGAAATCGCGGAGACGGCTCCTTTCTTCAACGCCAAGTAAAACTCCTGCGGAGAAAAGGGTTAAGCCAACAGCTGACAGAGAGAAAGATAAAATCTCCAACGAAACCATTCTGGAGGCAATCTTAAATCTGGAAAAGAGAGTGGATGAGAAGCTGGCGGATTTAAGTGAGCAATCTAAACAAAGTAGCGCCATGATTGCAAGTTTAACGAAGGCGATTCAGTTCAACACGGAAGAGGTGAATGAGTGCAAGAAAAGAGTAAAGGACTTGGAGATACAAAATGAACATCTGCGCAAGGATAATTGTGATCTTAAGGAGAGGGTGAGAGAACAAGAAAGATATAGAATGAGGTGGTGTCTCCGTATCAAAGGCATAGAAGAAAAAAAAGACGAAGACCTCAGATCACATGTCATACAAATCCTCGGTAAGATTGCACCTGAGATGGACGCAAAGATGGATGAGGCTGTTGACATTGTCCACAGGCTGGGAAGAAAGATGGACAGTAAAAGCAGGAATGCCATTGTGCTGTTCACGCAAAGGCGAGTGAAAGATGAAATCTGGCGGAGAACCAAAAATTCACCGGTCTGTAAGGCGGAGGGAGTTCGATTTGCCGAGATGCTTCCTCGAGAAGATTTGGAAGACAGACGAAAGTTATGGCCTCAAATTGAACAAGCAAGGAGGGAAGGAAAACCGGCGTTTTTTCGCGGTCCATATGGCTTCATTGAAGGTCGACGGATATATTTTGACGGGTGAAGTGTTTCGTTTCTAATTGACTGGTAGTTGGAAACCTTTTCAGTGGGACACTGGAGCTCTATTTGTAAGTTAAGGTTCATAGAGTGAGAGTGTGAATTCAAAAGGGGTGGTTTAATTTGTGCTTTTATTTACTATTTGTTTTTTGTTTTTTTCCATTTTTCAGTTTTAGTGTTCATGATTACGGACAAAATTGTATTTGGTTCTCTGAATGTTAGGGGCTTAAAGGACACTGTTAAAAGAAAAGCGTTTTTTTTTATTTTGCAAAGGACAGAAAGCTCATTGTGTATTTCTACAAGAGACTCATTCTTCGGGTTTGGATACCTCTTTCTGGACTAATCAATGGGGTGACAAGATTTTTTTCAGTCATGGTTCTAATCGTTCTGGAGGAGTGGCAATATGCTTTAACAAATGTCCTGGGGAAGTCATCACTCATAAAGAGGATGGAAGCGGTCATTGGTTGATGGTGGTACTGAAAATTGATGTTCTTTTTTTCATTTTAATTAATGTTTATGGCTTTAACAATGCAATTCAAAACCAGAAATTAGTAGAAGAGATTTCTAATATTGACCATGTGATATTTCAGTTTTCCTTTTTTAATAAATCTGCAAAAATGTCAACAATTCTGTTTTTCTGTCAATATGGGGTGCTGTGTGTACATTAATGAGGAAAAAAAAATAACTTAAATGATTTTAGCAAATGGCTGCAATATAACAAAGAGTGAAAAATTTAAGGGGGTCTGAATACTTTCCGTACCCACTGTACGTCTGAAGTAATGCATTTAGATAAAGGGGTGCAGAGTCAGTGGTGGTTTTTTAGGCAAACATTAATGCAACCAGCTATTGGTAGCCAGTGCAAATTTATAAACAGAGGTGTGATGTGCATTCTTTTCGGCTCATTAAAAATTAAACTTGCAGCCACATTCTGGATTAATTGTAAAGGTTTGATAGAACTGGCTGGAAGACCTGCCAAGAGAGCATTGCAATAGTCCAGCCTGGACAGAACAAGAGCTTGAACAAGAAGTTGTGAAGCATGTTCCGAAAGAAAGGGCCTGATCTTCCTAATGTTGAATAAAGCAAATCTGCAGGACCGGGCAGTTTTAGCAATGTGGTCTGAGAAAGTAAGCTGATCATCAATCACAACTCCAAGGTTTCTGGTTGTTTTTGAAGGAGTCATGGTTGATGTGCCTAACTGGGTGGTGAAATTGTGATGAAATGATGGGTTTGATGGAACCACAAGCAGTTCTAACTTGGCAAGGTTGAGTTGAAGGTCATGGTCCTTCATCCAGCAAGAAATGTCAGTTAGACGAGCTGAGATGCGAGCAGCTATTATCGGATCACCAGGATGGAATGAGAAGTAGAGTTGAGTGTCATCAGCATAGCAGTGATATGAAAAACCACCTGACAGAACCTAGTGATGCCATATAGACAGAGAAGAGAAGTGGTCCAAGAACTGAGCGCTGAGGCACCCCAGTAGTTAGATGCTGTGACTTGGACACCTCACCTCTCCAAGATACCTTGAAGGACCTATCTGAGAGGTAAGACTCAAACCACTGGAGTGCGGTTCCTGAGATGCCCTTTACCAATAGGGTTGGGTTGACAGGAGGATCTGGTGGTTAACCGTGTCAAATTAAAAACATTTAATATTATAAAAACTAGTAAATATTATTATAATTTTAAACAACTGTACTCTAGTCTTCAGAGTAATTTGATCCTTCAGAAATCATTCTAAAATGCTGATTTGCTGCTTAAGAAACATTCCTTATTATTAATGTTGAAAACAGTTGTGCTGCTTCATATTTTTGTGGAAGCCCAACAGCACAACTGTTTAATAATAGAAGGTTTTCTTAAGCAGCAAATCAGTATACATATGGGGGGCTTTTAATTATAAACAAGCCCAAATTACACCTGGACTCCTTTTTTTTGCACTCTAACAACCATCTACATTTTACAATATAATCACTGTAAAGTAAACATTGTTATTACTCATCAACAGTATATCATAAGTAATCTAATGGAATAATTGAATTGTATTCATTAATTGCAACAGCGCTGAATCTTGAATTTGAACATGCAGCACTCACATTTAATGAAATCCAAACCAAACCATTCACACTTGGCATGCACAATTTTGGCTACATGCCTAAACTTAGCACCCACTTGTGCGAAAATGACTCTGCGCTGACCCTGGTTACAAAGAACAAAGCTTTTTGTCAAGGCTCATGCAAGATTTTTGGACAGTGGAGACACAACTTCAATAAATGTTCTGATAATCACCTTCACAGGCTCAAGGGTAGCCGAGAAAGCGTCCTGCAGTGCACAGCATGCTAATCGCCACATCTCCTCAGTGAAAACAGGCCCTGCTGTTACCAGAACATACCTGGATATCAAAAATAACAAATCAGAACTTAATATACCTACTGCTACTATACTGGAGACATAAAAAAAGTAATCTAATCATATATTGCAGCATAACTTCAAGCCTTTTTCAATGAATTATTATCTTGAAAATAACTTGGTAATCACCTGAGATACATAATGATATTCACTACTCAATATTTATTTTTATTTAACTAAACCTCACACTGTCTACTGTCTACACATCTGAATCTAACATCATAAATGATGGATCTGGAACACTCTGCATCACGCAGACTGCACTCCTCACAAATAAAGGGGACGGTTTAGTGGATCATTTAATCATTTGACAAAGTACAAAAAAAAAGTCATTTTATAATTGAGAAGGGTTGATTTTGGCATTAAATGATATACAGAGACAATTACCATAAAACATAACATTTACTTACTACAGCAAATCAGCTATTCTCTGATAGTAGACGCTGACAGTACAACTTCACAAAGTAGCAGTTAAAGTCACACATGTGCAATAGAATGCCAGAATGCCATTGCTGTTCCATAGCAGCTGTTGCTTAAACTCCCTAATATGCTGTCTATGTAGGCAGTTCAGTAAGTTTTAGAACACACACACGCACACACACACCTAATACAGGAGCAGCCCACTCTGGAGATGGTCTCGGCTGGTTCTGCCACACAGGACACCAGCAGTTTGAATAGATCTTTCAGCATCAGGTTAATCAGATTCTCATAGCCAATATCTGCAAAATAAAAACAGTCATACAATTTATATTTCATATATATATATATATATACATACACACATACAGTCTAGCTGAAATAAAACGTTTTTATAAAATAAAATACACATATACGTTTTTATATATTTTAATTTAAATTATATATTTTTTTATTAGTAACCAAATGGTTACTATGGTTTTAGTTTTTTTTTAGTTAAATGACGACAACCCTGGCTTTTAATAAAGATTCTATTTGTA